GGCCGAGCCCGAGGCGCTGCAGTCGCTGCGGCGCTCCACGCGGCATAGCTCCAACTGCGACCGGCTCTCGGAGAGCAGCGCCTCCCCCCAGCCCAAGCGCCGGCACCTCGACACCCCCGCCTCCATGCCAAAGCTCTTCTTGCACCTGGAGAAAAGTAGGCCTTGCTCTTCAAATTACTGCTCGAAGCAAGTTTTCAAGTCTTGCCCCCTTTCATGTCATCTGGACTGTGAACTGGATGGTGGAAGTAGGAATTAATTACTTTTGGTATCGAGCATTTGTCTCTGTGGCTTATACCAAAGAGAGAAATACAAAGCAGTATTCTCAGTACTCTGGTACTGTATTTCTCAACAGAATTCAAGGAGCTGCTTTTCTGTGAGCCTGCTTTAGGATAGCATTTATTTAGTTCCAGTGTTTAAGCACTTCAGCTGCGGGCTTTTGTTATGTTTAATGGCTTATAGTTCCATAAAATACAGAATAAAACTTATTTCTGATTTCTTTTGTTTTGTTTTTTCCTTCCATTTTGAAGAAACCCCTGTCCATAGTGGATCATCTTCCCCTATAACTTTGACTCCTAGCAAAGAGGGGAGTGCAGTTTTTACTGGCTTTGAAGGTAGAAGAAACAATGAATTGAATGAGGTAACAGGTTTTGGTTTTTTTATGTTGCTGTCTTAGATTCAATGATTAAAGGTTTCGTGACCTCTGAGTAGGGCTATGTAAGAAAGTTTTGATAGTATTACTTTTTTTGCCTTTCATTTTGAAATTCTACACAGATTAAATTATTTACGGTGCTACAAAGATTTGATAACCAGCATTTTCATGTCTTGCATTTAGGTTTTGTCCTGGAAGTTGATGCCAGACAATTATCCACCAAGTGATCAACCACCACCTCCCTCATATATCTATGGATCTCAACACTTGCTACGGATGTTTGGTAAACTGATGGAAAACTGCTGAATCAAAATTGCTTGTTTGGTTTTGTTCAGTTTTACTCTTTTCTGTGACTGTATCCATGTACTTTCCTGTTTATCAGTTTTAGTTTTATTCTCAGAGAAGTGTTCATTTTAATTTGCTTAAAGCTCTTAGGCTGTTCATAACCTTGCTTATCTCTTAGTGGCTTGGTAAGCCTCTATTGAACGAAAGTGAGCAAGCATTGCTTCAGTACACTGAGACATCATTAAACCAAGCAGCATTCCCTTTCTCGCCGTGCTGCCTCTTAGTAAGATTTTGAAAGCTCAGTGAGTAACTTGCAAAGTAAAGTGGAGGCTGCATGGAGGAGGAAGTTTTATATTCTTCTTTTCTGTATACTAGATAAAAGTAATTAGAAGTTGCTTTTAAAAGAACAGGTGTAAACATTTTTTTCTTATTCACAGTAAAACTACCAGAAATACTGGGGAAGATGAGCCTTCCTGAGAAAAACCTAAAGGCTTTAGTGAAACACTTTGAAATGTTCCTGAGGTAATGTGACACAATGTACCACAGCAGTGTTTGTGTTGTTATGTAAATCTAAGTGTCCTGAAATTGCAAGGAATTTTTAAGAGAAGATATTAATTTGCTATAACTGCAAGAGTATGATAAAATTAATGTAAGATTTAAATAATAACAATATGAATAAAGATTACTAGATTTTTTGATTCTGTAATTCAAAGGAACACAAACTTTCTACTTAAAGTTTTGATTAATACAGTGTTAGAAAACCGAATCAGAAAAAATTGTTTGCTACTGTGTAGAGAATGACAAGTCTAACTTGGTTAAAAAGCATATTTTATGAAGTAATATAAATTGCATTGTTATTTTTGTGAGAATAATCTGAGAGTTTTGATGTTACATTGATACTAGCAGGGGCAGAAACCTGTGGTTTAGGACATGTTTTTAATTATGGTAGGTTTGGGGTTCTTTTTTAAAGGAAAGTGTGTCCTAATTGAGCTTTAAACAAAAAGACTTCTCTTTTATGTAATGTAGTGGCTTGTAGAGGAACCCAAGCTCTTTCTGACCATGTTAGCTCCATGGCTGGAATCAGTGTGGTCATACCTGCACCATGAGCAGCTTGCTTTGTCAGGTACTCTAGTTAATATCTGTGCATGACATTGTAGTGATAGTTAGATATCTCGTGTGGTACTGTATCATGCAGCATCAATACAATGGAAAATTTGCCATGGAATATTCACAGGAGAAAGTGTTGGAAATGGTAAACATCTGAAAGAAATGTGGAACTGTTAATTAAATTTTGGTCAAAGGCTCTTCAATAGCCACATACTGAAAGCGTGGTGTGGCACTACCATATCCAAACTCCTGCTGGAGATCAGGGAGATGAAAGCTTTAGAATGCTTTTGCTTTGATTGTTTATAGAAAATGAAAGTTTTTTCAAATGTCAAAGTTTCTGCAATGCAGTTTTTTTCTTGAAACTTAATTTTTTTACATTTTACTAATGCTCTGTTCCATTTGTCTTTTGTCAGATCCGTATTAGAATTCAAAGTACCTTTGAAGTTAAACAGGACAGCGTTAGTGCTTATTGTTGGAAACCAATTTTTGCTCAGAGTGAATCTTTAGGGTGTTTAACTTGCTGTGGATCAAATTAGTTTTTATCAGACCCTTGCCTGTTCGGGTTCTTCTGTGTTGGTCAGAGGAGATCTCTGCTCTTTAGCTTCTTAAATGCTGTTTCTTCAAGCCCATTCTATGGATGGGCTGTGGTAGAGTAGAATAGAGGGAAGGAGGAAACATGTCTTCCACCCTCCACAAAATCAGGGACATGATTAAACTGAAAGCTTTAGTGGTGGTATCCATATGTGTCTTTTTTTTCCGTCAGACCATCTCTTTGAAAGGTATAGTCATCCATAAATAGAAATTACAAAAAAAAAAAAAAGGCAGAAGAAATTTGGCATTGGCATTTTTAGGTCAGATAGAAGCATGCTTTTGAAGCAAATCTCTCTGTAGTTCCCACTTGCCCTGCTTTGTGCTGTGTTGTAGAGTGCTCTGAGTATGCAAGCAGGAGTCCTTTTGGAAAACACTTAACCAGAAGCGTGCTTCAGTACCAGGGGCATTCAGTCCTCGAGTCTAGTCTACAGCTGAACCAAAATGAGTCCCCCAAGGCAAGCATAGTGTGGCTATTACAGACCTTATGCAACAGAGTATTTGAAGGCTGTGTGGTTTTTTTGAAGTGCTTTTAAGCCAGTGGTCTTTATCTTTGCTAATGGCTGTTCTCAATGTTTCTCTTCTATGCTGAAACATTGATTTCTGTGGTTTTGTCAGAACTGGCCAATGAGAGCCTTCCCGAAAAAGCTTTCAGGTTACAGTTACTGCGGTAGGAAGTATTTGATCTTAGGAGCTTTGTCATAAGTAGTCATCTTAGACTAGTTTTCTTGTCAGATATGCTACTGTGTATTTAAATAGATAACATAGAAACAAATGCAAATTATTAGACTTTTTTTTTTTTCAAACACACATTCATGAGGCTTTAGGACATCTTTCATTTTGGTTTTTCTTTTAGTCCCATATGTCATTGAAAGTGGTCAAACAATTACGTTTCCTGGAAACTTGTTCAGACTTGATATTTATCATAGAAGTGCTTTTGCATTATCTGTTTCTCATCTTGAGAAAACTTGAGGCTGAGGTGACATCTTGTACTAGTTCTTCAATTTTCACATTCTGTCTTTTCCTTTTTGGGAATGAAAGGATTAGTGGATGTTTATTAAAAATTTTGTTCCGGCTTACCTTTTGAAAGGTAAGAACTGTCCTACACAGTCTGTGTGTGTTAGATGATAGCAACCGATCTACTTCAGACTGCCTAACTTCTGTTAGTGAGTTCCTCTTGAGTGACAAGCTGAAGTACTCTCTCCTTTATTTTTCTAATAGCAGACAAGGGATTAAAACAGTTTGCATTAGTGAAATGGTTTCTGAATCTTCATTGAACTCTAGGAAGAATAGTCCAAGCATAAGTAGTTTATGTATTTTTAAATAAAACTTTCATATGATACACAACTGACTTAGTTCTGGCATGGATATTGGTGTAATTTTGTATTATGAATTTATAGCTAAAATTTACAGTTTCATATAACATTTGCACTATTAATCTTATGTGGGATGAGAAACTGAGTAACACTTTGTCTAGAAGCTTATTTTATTAGTTTACTCAGTACTTGATAGATGTACTACATTCACTTGGAGATGTTACATGGGTAATATTTTTCAGTCGTGCCCTCAGCTTGCTGCTAGACAAGATTGATCTCAGTTTCCCCAACAACATATATTTTTAAGGGCTATATGTAATACATCTTTTTTGAATTTCATATTAAGTAGAAGCTGTACCCTTTGTGCTTAGTGCAGCTTTCTACAAGTATTCATGATGAAAATTTTTTCATGGAGAATGTGAAAATCAAATTCTCAATTGGCAGAATTTGCAGAAGTAAAGAAAATCAGTTTATCAAATTAAGTATAAAACTCTTAGTCTTCACTTCAAATTATTTAGCTCTGAAGTAATCTGTAATGCTTGCAGAAGAATAACAGTCTGAAATGGACATTAGTGACAGACTTGCCAGTTGGCTTCACTGAATTTCACTTGGTTTGAATTTAGTCTTCAGGAGCAACTGGTGGTAGCTAACAGAGTGACTGGTGCTTACTAACTTGGTAATCTTACTAGCAAAGGACCCCTGATTAAATCTTGCTTACAAATTGTTTATAATATACACGTATAACTTAATTAATATAATAATAATGATATAATATAATTTTCTAATATACTTTTCCAGATGAGACCAGTATGTGGTATTTCAGTTTATGGAAAACTACATTCTTAATGGTCAAAGGCTTTGATTTTGTTAAAAACCCACTGATACTTCAAACCTGGTATATTCTGTAAGTTGTCCTTTTCATTTTAGATATCAAATTGTTCCTCATATTTTACACCATGCTTGTAGCATGCCACTCTGCTCCATGGGTAGAATAGTATTTTAGTACTGTTGAGTATTTTGAGAAGGAAGCCAAATCAGAATGTGACCAAATCAGAGTGCTATGATAATAAAATGTGTATGTAGAAAGATGAAAAGTTGCTTGCAGTAACTTTTTAAGACCTAGATTTCTGGTTCTGATAGCACAACATCTTTTGTGTAGTGATTTTATTACCTGTAATTGCAGTGGTGAATTATGACCACTAGTCTGTGCTAATGTGCAGTTAATGAGATGTTACTAGTGGCTTTCTGAGAATGAAAAACTGGACCACTGCACATGGTGAATGACTAGAAAACATCCTAATTTAAGTTGCTTGTGATGGAGTTCTTGTTCGTTGTGAATAAAGTTGCAAGAAAGCAAGAATCACTTTTTGAAAGATCTCAAAGGATGTGATTTTGCTGCTGTTTCTTATATTGATTAGGGCTTTTTGCTTTTTTAATTGCCTCTCAGTTTTGGGATTAACCAGTTACTTGACAAGAAGTATCTATGCTGCATAGCAGTTATGATATACTAGAAAACCTTAATTGGAGCGTAAATGTGAGAAAATCCAGGTTCTGAGTGTCAGGGGACAGGTGTGGATTTAGAAGCACAAAAAAATTAAAGGAACTTTTTTTAACTTTAGAAATGCTTTGAAATGGAGGAATTCTACTTTCACAGTGAATGTATATGCCTCATTTTAGGGCATTATTACTGTTATATTTGGGCTTTGTTGTATTCATTGAATGGGTAGGAAGGTAAGTGCTGTTCTGGGTCCTCTCAAACTTCTGTCACTTTTATGTTGAATGCTTCCTAGTCAGTGAGTGCCTGGCATTGTACAGGTTCTTGTTTTCACTAAGCTTTTGTTTGGTTGGTCTGCAGTATCTTGTCCTGTGTGTATTTTTCTTGACTAAGAAAAATACTTCCTTGAAGCTGCACCATGTGGATTGCTTCGCTTCCTTCTGCTTACCAAATCATCAGATGTCTGGACGTTTGAATGCATCTTCCTAAACATAATAGCAGAGGTTTGGATCTTGCATCTGAAGTGAGAGGTTACCTAAAATACTTTTAGTGTTACCGTAGCTATTTTAGAAGGCAGCTCTAGGAATTGGTTCTGGGATCTGTGCTGGCCTCGCCAAAAGTGTCTTCATCCTCAAGACCAACTGAAGACTTCTGTATTGAGCTCTTGTAGGACCTCAAAAGGTCTAATAGAAGTTACCACTTTTAATTCTCGCTCACTCAGCCTGATTACCTGAAATGTTGGCAGCTTAGCACCTTCATTGTTCTCTGCACTTGCCCTTTAAAGGCCATGGAAGATGATCTTGGTTTCTGTATGTGGATGAGTGATGGGAATCCAGTTAACAAAACAAGCCTGTTGGTTCCTTTGGCATGGTTCTTGAGATACTGGATATCAGAATAAACATCTGAAACTTTTTGCTTGACTTGTTCTATTGACTGCACTGGGGTTATGGTGAACTTTGTGTTGGCAGGCTTTTGCCATGAACAGTTTTCAAGGTGGAGACATCCTTTTCAGGTGGAGAGGATGTGGGTGAGGTGGTGGTATACACTTTTGTGTGAAGCTAGGCCTTTTAGCTGTCAAATCCTGCATTTGAACGGTAGTGTTGGAGAAGAGATAGCACCTTATTCTGCAAATGGCATTCTTTTGATGAGGTGACTCTTAGGACTGATCTTGCTCTTTAAGCAAATTCCTTTACATAAATTGTTACAGTTGCTGTTCAAACAGAGCATGTAGCACAGGCCACTGATCTCATCAACTCAGCTGTAGAGAAGGTGTGCAAGATATCACCTTCCTGGAAACCTTTCCTTTTAATTCTCTATTCTTATACCTTTATGGCTCAGCCAGATGGTAGTGTATTTGTGAGGCTGTTGCTTGGAGTAACTTGAGGTAAACTTTCTTATGGACTTCTACATTTGAAGATGAGAACATAGGAATTCTTCAAGCTGGCTTGCTCATATGTCTGCTTCCCTTGTCTCCACCTTCTCTAGTCCTTTATGAAGTATTGCTCTTCTAGGACCCTGTGGTAGAGAGGGAAGTAAAGAAGGCAAGAATTCAACAGGTGACTGAACTGAACTGATCAGATTTGTAAGTTAAAAGTAAAGAAACAATTTCTGAACAGCTAAGGAGCAGTGTGCTTTGTGATCAATAGCTGAACATTGGCTCTGCTTGCTAAGTACAGCTCCCTCTTTTTTTAGATCTTGGCTCATGACTTGCAGGTTCCAGTGAAATTGATCTTTGTGCTATTTCAGCTTTTCCAAGAGCAAAGCAGTAGTGAAATGTCCTGTAGTGAGGAGTCTTAGAAGACTCCCAGTATTTCTGTGCCAGCTTTCTGCACTGTGGTGTAGTGTGGGTAGAAAGCAGCTTCAGAAGGGCCAGTGCTCTTTGCCTACAGAAAGACAAGGGATTGGGACAGAAGCTGACATTGTGTTCTCATGCCTGATTCCTCTGACTTCCCTGCAGAAAGGAATTTGTATCTGTTGGCTCTGGGATATTTTGCTTTTCACAGCTACGTAAGAAGAGAGGGATGCACATTTACGCACGTTTGACTGTACATTCTGCCTGCTTTTTTTTGGAGTTGTAGCTGTGCCACAAGCGCCTCATCTGAAGTGTCTCATCTTTACCACCTGCCGCTTTGGTTTGTGCCGTACTGGGCCCTTATGATCTTAAGCAAAAGTCAGGATAATTGTAATGAACCTGTTTCACATTAACTGCCTTTAAAATTCTTCTAACTGTCAGCTACCCAATGTCCTCTGAAGGATCCTTTATTTTATTGATATTCTTTTAAACCATACTGCCTTGTACGATCTAGCACTTGGTACTGTGTTTCATGGAATGCTAGCCAATGACACCAAGAATTTGATCTGCCCCTGTAGTTTATCTCTTGAAGTCATTCATGTGTGTTAATGAATTGTTATTTAAATTCCATTTGTGGCTCATCTTGTGGAGTGTAAGTATGTTAAAAGTTAGGCTCAAATCTGTTAATTGTTGGGCATTACCACACTCTCCTTACCAACCCCACATATTCTGGACGGTGATTTGTAGCTAACTACAGTCAGAGGTCAGAGCAGTTGATGACTGGGGTATTCTGTTAGCTTCTAAGTTGCTCTTGTGGTGATTTTCATTGAGTAAGATATGTGTGTGTAGTGCAAATGAATGGCATGATTCAGTGAAGATGAGGAGGATCTGACTGAGTGAATTGTTTCTGTGTTTCTTTGGAATATTTTCCAAGGGGTATCTCTGCTGCATTAAAAAAAAAAAAGGCATTTTTTAAAGTATTAAAACAATTTATCACCTGGTAAGCTTAAAAATATAGGTGGTGAATGGTTATAATGGCTAGTAAATGTCTAGGTAGTATGGTTCAAATGGTGCATTAATCAACTATTGGTGGTTTTAATCTAGATTTGTCCTGCTTTTTTAGTTCAAGAAAACAATTTTTTTTTTTTTTCTGGTTTATTGTCTTGCCAGAGTTTAACTATTTGGATGCACTGCCTAGTAGTTTGTTGCATTGATTGACTGTCTTCTGCTCTTCCAGGGGAAAATATCTCACTGTTGTTATTTTTTCATTAATTTAAATGCCTTTATTTCTTTGAATAGGACATTGGTATACTGCAACTGTAACATACTCTAATATTAAAACCAACTTTTTTGATTTAGAAAAATGGTTTTCATATAAGTTTTTTTAAAAAATTATCTTTCAACCTTAATGATTTTTTTTTTTTTTTTAGTTTGTGCTATATTTAATAAAATTGGAAGCTGCTGTTGGACCCAATGAAAGACTAGCACAGCATGAATACTTAAGAGTAAAAAGTATGCTAAAGTATTATTAGATGCACTAGCATTTAGGATTGCATGAATGGAGAATGTGTAGAACTTTACATTTACTTAGCTCTTACACATTTATTATGATAGTTTATGTGGTGCCAGTCTGTGGCAGAGCCAGTTGGATCCTTGCTTTAAATACAAGAGATCTTTCTTGGTTTTGGCAGTACCTGCCCAGCTGAATATTGCCAGAAATTATGTGCTTGATTAGATACTGTTTTGGGTCATGTAACAGCCTTTTCTGCTCAATTCCTTAGGTAATATTGAACAAATGTAAAGCAAAACCAAGCAGCTCTTTCATCTTTTGCAAGTGTAGTGGTTGTCCAGCCAGTTCACTTGTCTTAAACCTGAAAGGTTTTTACATCAGAAACCACCATGGGTCCCTCTATTCTGATAATTACTGAACTCTTATGAAATAAGCAAGGATGGAGGAAGTTGACAAAGTGCTTTCTAAATAAATAGTGACATGTTTTAAAGGATTGATTTCTTCTAAAGAGCTTGGATTTATATTCCTAGAGAGAATTCTAGCATTTCCTAGAAGTAGTGGGATCTAACCAGTTATTCTTTTAGTTTAGCACATGTTTAATGCCTGTGTTTGAGTAAAGGATTCTGTGTGAAAATTAACCTTTTTTCATTTATCTCCATTTCTGTGCTGTAATGTTTGTGTATGAGCTCTCAGCAATTAATATATTCCTGATTAAATTTATTTTGCCTTATACAGAGAATCTTGTTAGTATTGCTTTGGCTCGGTTAAGATTAAAGGACGTGCCTAGTTCAGTGTAGCTGTAAGTGAGGCTGGAATAACACTGGTTTTAATTGCATTGACCTGTACTTTTTGAATTTGGACTTTGTGTCTAGAGTACTAGTTATACCAAACTGGTTATTTTTAGCTTCCCGTGGTGAAGTCATCTCCCTAGCCAGTGGTTCTTGAGAGAAACCAGATTTTCCAAATGACTTCTTTCCTGTTGTTTCCATTGCTCCCTCCTCTGAACTCAGAGAACTGGTAGCTAATGTTTTGTCTTGTTGTTGTTGCTGATCTTTAATATCCAGGTATTTTTGCAGGTCTGTTTTTTCTAAAGTATAGCTTGGTTGTCCACCTCGGGTTTAAGAGCAGTTTTTGCTCTTTTGCCCTTCCCCCCATTTGTATCCCTGGTATCTTTGTATGCAGAAGAAAGAGCAGAGAGCTTATAGTCATTTTAGCCATTTGTTACTGGTGGTGGTAGTAGCAGTACTGTTTATTTTAATTTTAAATCCTAAAACAAAGACTTTTATGTTAGTAGGCCAGGTAGACATGATAAAATATGGGATGGTTGGCTGTTTGAGTAATGTCTGAGGACCACCTTGCAGAAATCTGAAATGGGTGAACTGGATTTGCGAAGGATGTATTTGTTTTTGAAGCCCATGCTCAAATCAAATACTCGTGAGGGCTGGAGACCCTGAACGCACAGGCACATGAAAGAAAAAATCGGAGCTTTACTGACCTTAAAAGATACCGTCTGGCTTAATGCTAACTGGCTACTTGTATAAGATACTGACATAGAGATAACTGAAAATCCTGGGTTTAACATAAAAGAAAATAGTATGCTGAGCAGGGGACTGACAGATGTTGCAGGAACATCACTTTTTTTCTCTTCTGTGATAGTTCTTTGCATTCTTTTCTGAGTGTAGCTTCAACTTCTGGATTCCTTTTTTTAGTTGAGTTGGAGCAATTTTTTAAAATGCTGCCTAAATTTGAGAGTGATAGGCTAAGGCTGTTTCACTAGGTAAATCTTGTAAAAATAGGGCAAGCCTTTTGTATGCCAAATTTCAAAGTGTAATAATTCTTAATTTCCAGACTGTGGTTTTGCTGAACTTAAGAGAAGCTATTTTCAGGTTAATTTTTAAATGTTTCATGTTCTGTTCTGTATTTGGTGTGCTTTCTTCTCAGGTTTTTAGCAGAATACCATGATGATTTCTTCCCAGAATCTGCTTATGTAGCTGCTTGTGAAGCCTACTACAGTACTAAAAATCCTCGGGCAATCTACTAAAGCTATTAAAAAAGATTAAATCCTACTACATGTAGCCCATGACAGTGCTATTTTGCCACATGGCTACAAGATGAAGGTGAAAAAGAAATGAAAACAACTTCTGGAGTTGAAGAAATAGGGTAATATCTTCTGTCCTGGTTGGATTACTGTAGGAATGGAGAACTTGTTTTCAGAGTTGTGTATAGACTGTGTTTTGGGTTGCTTAGAAGGATTGTGTATAACTCCAGCTCCAGATGAAGGAAGAAGCCTTGTTCTGTCTCGCTAATGCATAGGACTGCATAGGACTACTAAAGAGGAAGGGAGGCAAAAGCAGATGCATTAGCAACAGGACGTTTTCATGAAGATAGATCGTCATGCTGTGCTTCATTTTAGCTCAAACTCTCCAGCCTGAGAAATAAGACTTGACTGCACAGTTACATGAAGAGAATGCGTAACTGATACCTTATGGATTTTTTTCCTCACAAATTGCACTTCATTTTGTGGAACCGTCACGTTTGAAAAGATTGCTCAATGTAAAGGTGGTTTTGCTGTTTGGCTAGCACAACATCTGCCTCAAGAATGACTCTTGCTTGAATGGAAGACACGTTCCTTACTTTGCATTTTGCAAAGGTGTATATAGCTCTTTCCACGGTCAGGCTGCCAGAGTTCCGAGGAGAGCATATGCTGCCAGTGATATAACATTTGCCTGACAATAAATGATTTCCAGAGCCATTCTGAAAGAACTGATTTTTGACAAGTAAGTGGAGAAGTCAAAGTGATGGCAGTTTAACTGGCAAACACTTCTTTTCTTAATAAAGTTCACAGTGGCTGCTGTGTAAATGTGTGATTTTTGACTGTCTGAAATGTTTTGTTTGCTCAATTGGTAATTTTGAGATTGCCAAGTGTGCATATAATAAGAGGTGGCAGCATCCACAACATAGGGAGAGAAGCCCTTTCTATATCATTGGGTTGTCTTCTGCAGGCCTGAAGGATGTCTCTTTAGACTGTTTTAAACACTTGAGCTCTGGAAACAGGAATTCAGCGAGAACTGAGTTCCTAGAAATCTGACAGTCCATTCAGTAGAAATTAATTGAAATATAATTCTTGTCTTGAGAACTTAGTCTATGACTTGGATCACTGGCCTTCAGAATCCCCTGCTCTGTCAAGACAGACACAGACTTTAAAAGCACTGGGAAAAAAATAGGCCTCGAGGCTTACAGAGTGCTGTGTTACTCAGTCTGCACAGTCTTGCCTAGTTCAGAAAACTTCCACTGAACACTCACCTGTAACACAAAACTCAACACATTGCTCCTGTGTTTGCAGGAACCACTAGTGAGGAGGAATTGACTTTCAAACATAAATGGCAAGCTTAGCCCAAGAGGCCAAAGGAAACCTGAAATCTACTGTTGGTGTTCATTGTCACTCATTTTAAGAGTGTACTAGTGTGTTAAATCCTTTGAATTGAGAAAGATAAGCATTAGCGTGGTTTTAGCAGTTTAGATTCTGCTTTTTAGGAAGACTTCTATGAAGAGTCTGTTAAACTTACTGGTTGAGAAATGAACATTTCACATGGATGCATGCGGATTTGGTGATCATTATTTCTAAAGATTACTGCTTAGTAGTACTGTTCTTTTTAAAATGTATTTCTTTTGTACCCAAAAAAAACCCGTTTGTAAACGTTAGTCTTTCTTGCAGAAGTTTTGAATCTAGCAGAATCCAAGTACCTCAAAATGCACTTCACAAAAATGTTTCATTCTAGACTTACACCCTGTTTTTTTAAAAAGGCAATTCAACAAAATACTAATGACAATCTTAACAAGAGGTTCATCTTTTAATACTTCCTGAAACTCCATCTTTAGTCCTTGATATTGCAGGAATGTTAAATGTGTGTATAGTAAGGCAAATCTGTTTCTGTTTCACTGTTGGTATCCGAGTATAAGGCAAGGTTATGAACAGAGTTTAAACCTTGTTGTGTGACTGTTTAACTGTTAAAGTTGACACTTTCTGCATGCAGGGGTTATTACTGCTGTCAGTATTGCCTTGTTGATACATTGTGATGTTCCTCAAAAGATGTGACAGGAGGGGAAAAAATCTGAAGGACCAGTTAGTGTAGTCTCTATCTGACTTAACTTTTTTCTAAAGATCTCTTGAAGAAGCTGTTGCATATAATATTATGAACTGTCTTGCTCTTGTAATGACCAAAAAACTTTTCTCCAAAATAGCACCCATTTGCACTTCTTGACACTTTTGATTGACATGACTTCTCCAGACATTGTCTTGGAATTGCAAAAGTTCAGGTTTATATATTCCATTTGAGTAATGTGCATCTTTGACATCCCCCATCTCTATTGTCACTCTGCTTTTACCACTTTGCTATTTTCATACTTGACTTGTTTTGTTATAAGCAGAAGCTGTGCAAGAGACTCAAACCAGATTGTGTGAGAGGGTAGTTCTTTCTAGTCTTAAAATTTATAGAGATGTACCAGTGTGGCCCCCAAAATTCAGTTTGAATGGAATATTCAAGGGCTTATGTGGCTCGGGAAGCTTCAGTATAATTACACTGCTGGTGTGAGCTACAACTCTCTGAATGCCCTTATCTGGTTAGATTTTTTTGATGGGATTCATATCCATTTGATCTGATGAAAGAGGTTTCTGCACTTAGCTGTTTGTCATTTGTTGGTTGCTGTTTGTAGAGCTACTCAGATCAATGTTTCCTAACCTGATTCAGTCAAAATGGCTCAGGTTAGCTGAGGAAATGTGAAAAACTGACTGAAGGAGGCTAGGGAGCATTCACATGAGCAAGTCTGCCAGCAAACTTCAGAGGCAGCCTCCTGCAGGGGAGGAGCTGAGCTGAGAAAGCAGGTTAACGGGCAGTAATAGTTTACACTGGCATAGCTGTTTGTATAGCTCATGTGCTCCAGTTCCAGGTTAAGAGGTTTTTGTTGTTGTGTTTAAGGAAATTATACCAGTGTAATTATAGTGCATGCTTAGACTGGTAAATCTCTCCGCTGAGGGCAGGTGCTTGCACTTGCCTTAAAGAGCAGGCTGCTGCAGCATGGGGTGTGGTGTAGGGGTGAGCGTGGCATTGCTGGGAGAAGGCAGAGGAGAACAATTGCAGCCTAGGATGAAGGCAGGTGATGCAGCTGCTGTGGCACGGGAAGTGTGAGATGCTCAGTCTGCACAAACATGGCTCTTTTCAGCCCGGCTCACTTGGCACTGTGCCACAGAAGTAGGAAACTGACTGAACATCAAATGCTTTATGTAGATTGTAAAGATTACCGAAGAAGAATATATTAACAGGATACAACTTGAATATTCTTCAGTTTTATTCCTAATTTTAGGCTTTACTTTGTACAAATCATGCTTCAAAAAAACTCATACTGTTCTTCCAGGTGTGATAGCTGTAGTTGCTGCGTTGCCTTTCATTTTGTTACTGTGTTCCTATATTTGTCAAGCTCCATTTCTAGCTCCTGCTTCAAAACTCCAGCTTTCCTGTAGGGTCCCCTTCTGTTGAGAGGACCGATGCTCATGTCACCAAGTGCTAATTTAAATTATGTTCCGTGTCCTGTTCTGAAAGCAAGCTTATGGAGATGTTAGGGTTTCACTTGACATTTGGTGTGGGCTAACAGTGTGTGTGTGCCATTGGGTCTGAAATGTTTGGTGGGAGCTTGTCAGACAGTAGCATAGGATGACCTTGCTCTGGGTTATGCTGCAAGAGGAACTTCTGCAGTCAAAGAAGAAATAAAAAGCTGTTTGGAAATAAAAAGCTGTTACTGCTTTCCATGTTTGCATCATAAAAAGTGTTATCAAGACGTTTGGGAAATACACTGGGGAGATTGACATTGGAGTTAAAATACATATTTGTATATTAAATCCTTAATTTCTTGAAAATTACATGTTTTCGCCTCTGGAGTCTTAAGCATGTCTCCAAAAAATGTGTATGCTGGGGTGAAAATAAACTTTTCAGGGCAGAGAGGGAAGGGAGCAACACGTAATATCCTTACTTGAGTCTCAAGTGAAGCCTTTATTGTGGTCGGTAGTTGTACAACAGCACAAAGCTGGCAGCTCTTGGACAGACAGACACTGGTACATGTTTGGTAGCTTCTAACTTCTTGACCTATTAACAGAGATGGAAAGCGAGTTTGCACTTCAGAGCACACAAACTCGACTCTCAAGATACAAGGAGAAAATACCAAATAGCCTCAGGGCATGCATGCTTACTCCAAATGCATCAAGAAACACGTTTTTGTCCAGTGTATTGTAGAATCTCCTTTGTGGTATGAAGTGATCGCATTTAATTGTATTAAGTCATCCATTCTTCTAGGCAAATACATCTCAGTGTATGAGGCTCCCTGGAACAGCATTTTTAGAAGTTGTGTTACTTCAGTAATGTGTTTGACCATAATCAGGACAACCTTGAGGTGTTTACATAGTCAGTTTTTTCGCTTACTTTGAAACAATTAATTTGGAAGGATTTTCAGCTTTTTGTGTAGCTGCATCTTTTTTCTATATGAAATTACTGGATACAGGTACAGTCAGGTACCAATGCAGTGTTTCTGCCTCTTTTTTTTACTTCAACAACACCCTTCCCCAACTCTCAAAACAAAATTTGGAATAAATATTGCCTTGGGAAAATGCTGTCAGCAATGACTGAGTGGCAGATGTAGATGCTTACTAAGATCTAACTCAATGCGTCCTCCTTATTGCATGCATTATGTATTTTCCCATTCTGTTTCATATAGCAGATGACTTTTTTGCATCAAGGCTAAGGATTAAAGTGAGCTGAATAAAATCAGTGAAGTATAAATATGTGCTCAAAGATGAAAAGAAGAAATCTGTTCTTAAAAAAGGCAAAAAACCACTCATATTATTCCTTCTGTATGTCAGCTGGGAGTGGTTGGCTCACATCATGTCCAGTGGATGACGTCACCGTAAATACCACGATCAAACATGAGATCCAAGTTGATAAATCCCAGGACTAACAGAGATCTTTAAAAGTGTCTGCTGCGGAGCAGCAGCTGATTTGTCAGCTGTTTTATTGCTAGAAATGGTGGAAGGTTTTGACTGGGAACAACTTTTCCTCTTACCAGTAGAAGATACTGGATCTACTTCTGCAGAAAGCAGCCCAGGTGTTGAAGTGTTGACTCATACAATATGTTCCTGGGGGGATATTTCAGTGTTATGGCAGAAAACAAAACGTGTTTATACAGCAAGGAATTTGGAGATAAATGTGTTTAGTTCCTAGCAAAATGAATAGCAGCCATTTCCATCACAGCAGTAGCATGCTGACTGTGCCTCTGACATCTGTGAATGTTGAGTAGATGTGCGATTTATTAATATTTTTCTAGTCTTTTATTA